AGACATCGGGCTAGCACATGAAGTCATTAGTACTTACCTGACTTTTACCTTCATGGTGATCACAGGCTAGTAGAGGAGGCAGCTTTCAAAGGGAATAGTTCCCATGTGGTTAGTTCAATGTCATAATAGATTTTATCTAAAAACAAAACAAAACAAAACAAAGGAAGGATAGAGTAATTCTTGGACTAAAAGCTACATGAGGGCAAGGGTCTTATATATTTTAGGCATTGTTCACAATTAGTTAATGTACTAGAGGCCCTTTACATGGATCCGTGCACCAGTAGGGCCTCTTGGCCTGGCCTGTGTCCTCTCACAATCCAGGACCCTTTGGGGGATGTTGGAGAGCTGGTTTCAGCCTGATCCCTGCAGACCAGGCTGAGGAACCCCACTGGTGCATGATCAGGACCGTGGGAGGGCTCCAGGGTTTGTCTGGGCTGTCTCGCCCAGTCCTGATTGGCTGAACCCCAGCAGCAAGCTAACCAACCCATCAGAGCATCTTCCCCGTGGTGGTCAGTGTGCCATCATAGTGACTGGCCTAATGGTTGAACAAATGTTGGCACACTTAGCATATTAGGCTTTTATTATTTACTCTAATAAAAGACAAATGTGCTAATTGACTGTACCTTCACTATGCCCTAAAGCCATGCCCACCAGCCAATCAGAGCGACTATATACAAATTAACCCAACCAAGATGGCGGCCGGCAGTCACGGAGCTGGAGCGAACAGGAGGCTTGATTGCCCCGGTGATGGAGAAAGCCAAGCTCCCTGCTGGCTCAGGCCTCCGCTAAAAGCAACAGAGTTTCAATAACTCAACCAAGATGGCAGCTGGCAGCCACGGAACTGGAGCGAGAAGGAGGCTTGGTTGCCCTGGCGATGGAGGAAGCCAAGCTTCCCACAGGCCTCACTCAAGGCAACAAAGTTTCAATTATAGAAGATAAATAAATCCCAGATACCTGCTTCCGGCCAACCTTGCTGAGGAGCTTGGATTGCTGGGGACCGTGGCCAGCCTGAAAACAGCCCTCAGCCCCTCACCTAGGCTGGCCACAACCCCTTGAAAGGTTTTTAAAGGTAACAAAGTTTCAATTATAGAAGACAAATAAATCCCAGATACCTGCTTCCAGCCAGCCTCCACTGGGAACTTGGGTGGCTGGGGGCTGTGGCCAGCCTGCAAACAGCCATCAGCCCCTCAACCAGGCTGGCCACACCTTCATGGGGTGAGGGTCCCCGCAGGAGGGCTTGGCCAGCCTGCAAGCTGCCATCAGCCACTCACCCAGACTGGCCAGGCCCCCCAGCAGGACCCCCCCAACCCTGAAAGGATTGTGGCCATCTTGAAAACAGCCCTCAGCCCCTCACCCAGGCTTGCCAGGTACCGCAGCCAGGACCCCCACTCTGAAGGGGCTGTGTCCAGCCTGCAAACAGTCATCAGCCCCTCACCCAGGCTGGCCAGGCACCCCAGCAGGACCCTCCATGCTGAAGTGGGTGCGGCCAGCCTGAAAACGGCTCTCAGCCCCTCACCCAGGCTGGTCAGGCACGCCAGTGGTGACCACAACCCTGAAGGGGCTGTGCTGCAACCTCCCTATCGACCCTGCCTTGAGTGTGACAGGGGGCGGTGCCCCAACCCCCCAATCAGCCCTACCCTGAGCGTGACTAGGGGTGGCATCGCAACCTCCCAATCTGTTCTTTTCTGTGTATGACAGGGGGTGGCGCCGCAACTCCCCAATTGGCTGTGAGCCAGACCACGGGCTGCACCTAGAGATTGGGCCTGCCCTCTGTCACGGGGGAGCAGGCCTAAGCCAGCAGGTCGTTATCTCCCGAGGGGTCCCAGACTGCAAGAGGTCACAGGCCGGGCTGAGGGAGGGCCCCCCACCCCCCAGTGCACAAATTTTTGTGCACAAGGCCTCTAGTATAGGATATTTGTTTAATTGAATGGATTCGTTCATATCAAGATATCCAATAATTTGATTGATTCATTCAATTATTTAATCATTCACTTAATCCTTTATTCACTACTTAAATATTTGTAGGTAATAAGGCAAATTTTCCCATTGAATTTAAATGTAAAAGTATTCTTAAATAACATTAGGAAGAATTTTGATTAAATATAAATGAAAGTTATGACCTTGAGCATGCTCTGTGCTGATTCCTTTCAAGGTACATAGTATCATTCTCCATGGACAGAAAAGAAAATTGAACTATGTAGAGCTGAATTAACTTGCTTAGTTTATATAATGGGATTCAAACCCAGGTCTGCTTGCCTGACTCCAAAGCCTATGATCATTGCTTACCCAACACTGCTCTTTCTATGAAGCCAGAATTACACTAATCCCAAAACCAGATACAGACACTACAAAGAAAGAGAATTCTAGATAAACATAGATGCTAAAATCCTCAACAAAATTCTAGCAAATTGGATCCAGCATTACTTTAGAAAGGTCATACACCATGACCAAGTGGGATTTATTCCCGGGATGCAAGGATGGTACAATATCTACAAATCAATAAATCTGATACATCACATAAACAAATTAAGAGACAAAAAAATTACATAATCATATCAATTGATGCAAAAAGAGCATTTGACAAAATCCAACACCCTTTCCTGATACAAGCTCTCAGCAAAGTGGGAATAGAGGGACCA